ATCTCCCACAAGGAATTTATATACTTATTTTTTTCCAGGGGGTTTCAACATCTGTTAGCAATAATGACCAGGCATCCCTTGTATCTTGGGTTGTTTGAAAGTCGCAAAGGAAAGCAGGGTGATAATTAAGTAAAGAGGGAGTTCTCTTACTGAGCTGGCAACTATCAGAGTTGGATCCTGTCCGGGACACAGCGACCGTCATAAGTACAGTTGTGTGACCTTGGGGATGCTGCAACGGTCATAAGTGTGAAAATAGCCGTTCATCACTTTTATCAGTGCCATTGTAATGGTCATTAAATGGACTGTTGTAAGTCGAGGACTACCTGTAATATAAAGAGATGAATGGCAGTCTGGCTAGCAGTCTTGAATGCGCTGAATGTTCAGGAAAGGCCATCCTTTCTAAAGAGCTTGGACTCCTAAACACACCCTTGTTGTAGCAGATGGAAAGTGAGATGGTGATCAAGATGTTCCACTCGGAAGATGAAAATCTTTCCGGAGGGGCAAATCTCTTCCATGACACCACCAAGAAACATGTGTGGAAGTCATCAGCTGCAGTTGACTTTAACTTTAACAGAAGGATCACGTGAAGTGTTAATGCCACTTTACAAGACCTTGGTAAGGCCACACTTGGAAAACGGCGTCCAGTTTTGGTCACCATGATGTAAAAAAGATGTTGAGACTCTGGAAAGAGTGCAGAGAAGAGCAACAAAGATGATCAGGGGACTGGAGGCTAAAACATATAAGGAACGGTTGCTGGAATTGGGTAGGTCTAGTTTAATGAAGAGAAGTACGAGGGGGGACATGATAGCAGCCAGCCCTGGCTGAGGAATTCTGGGGGTTGAAGTCCACAAGTCATGAAAGGGCCAAGTTTGAAGACCCCTGAGTTAGTGGCTAAAAGCTTAAAGCAGCCCTGGCTGGCTGAGGAATTCTGGGCGTTGAAGTCCACAAGTCTTAAAGGTGCCAAGTTTGAAGACCCCTGGCTTTAAAGCAATAAATTATTGGAGGTTTTTAAGAAGAAATTGGATAACCCTGGGCTTGAAATGGCATAGAGTTTCCTGCTTCAGCAGGGGGCTTGGACTAGAAGCCTCTAAAAAGTCTCTTCCAACTCCGCTCTTCTTTCCTGTTCTTTTGTGTCCAAGATTTTAACTGGCAGTGCTGCGGCAGCCAACGGCCACTTCCTGGCTTTATCGCTAAATATAATGGTTCTGCTTTTCTGTACAATCAAGGGTGTGAAGCTCTGCTTGCTATTTGGAGTGGGAACAAACCAGGAAAGCTGGCCTCTCGTTTCTCAAAGTGAGCCTCCCTCTCTCTCCCAGGAGAACTTTCAAAGGGTTGGGCATGTCTGCTAGACGCCATGGGTCAGACCCCTTTCCAGGCCACAGGCCTGCCTTGGTTTCTTACACATTGCAGGAAGAGTCAGTTCCGCAGGAATTTGGACCTTCTAGTTGCTATTTCTCCTCCGGAAGCGCACGATGCAGCACAGCAGCGGCAAAGGAAGGGCGCGGTTTGTCTAGTTACGTGTGAATGGATCAAACGTGCCATTCTATGCCTGGGAGAGAGATTTCTGCATTATGGTTAGCTTCAATTGGTCAGCAGGCGGCTCAGCTCTTCCCAACCTGCTGCCCTTTTAGATCCGTGAAGACTACAGTACCCAGAATTCCTGGCTACTCTTGATTGACACCTCGGAGCAAAGTAAGGCAACTTTTTCCAGGCTAGGGCTGCAGCTTTTGTCGGTAGAGTGGCCTTAGACCAGGGGTCTTCCAACTTGGCCCTTGGATGACTGGTGGACTTCAACTCCCAGAATTCCTGGCTGGCTCAGACATTCTGAAAGTTGAAGTCCACGGGGCATCAAGGGGTCATAGTTCAGGATGGCAGCGTGACACTACGCTGATTGATGTTGGACCTTTTTAATTGCTCTACATCTTTTTCTGTTTATGACAACATTTATGAATTCACTAAAATGAAAATGAGGGACTCTTGTTATTTCCCACCCCCCCCCCTTAAGAAAATGTCCCCTTTATTCCTACTCTTTTCTGTTTTTAACCAATTAGTTAGTTGTAACCGTTCTGCTGTGTCCAACTCTGCTACCTTCAAGCAGAGCTTCTTTCAGTTGTTGCATGTTTATCTTTGTATCAGCTGTGATGGTATCAAGGCAGCGTGTTCTTGGCCTGCCCCTTCTTCTTGTTCCACTATCCCAGTGGGCGCTTTGGAGAATAGCTTGGCTCCCTCTTCTCTGGGGCAGCCCCTGAGATATTGGAAGGCTGCTATCATGTCCCCCCCCCCGTCCTTCTCTTCATTAAACTAGACATGCCCAATTCCAGCAACCGTTCCTTATATGTTTTAGCCTCCAGTCCCCTAATCATCTCTGTTGCTCTTCTCTGCGCTCTTTCCAAGGTCTCAACATCTTTTTTACATTGTAGTGACCAAAATTGGATGCAGTATTCCAGGTGTGGCCTTACTAAGGTCTTGCAAAGTAGTATTAACCTTTCACGTGATCTGGATTCTATCCCTCTGTTAATGCAGCCCAGCACTGTGTTGGCCTTTTTGGCAGCTGCAGCACACGGCTGGCTCCTATTTAGGTGATTGTCCACTAGGACTCCGAGGTCCCTCTCACAGTTACTACTGTTGAGCAAGGTACCCCCTATACTATACCTGTGCATTTGGTTTTTCTTGCCTAAATGACTATGGACATTTTTTTCTGCCTATCTGCAGCCAGCTCAGTTCGTGTCAGGGTAATATGTAAAGTTGGAGGGTTTCCCCCCCCCCCAATGCTCATGACTTTGTATTTACTTAACCAGCAGGATACAAGAGATTTAGGCTGCCCTTGAAAAGCTGAACCAGAGCAGCCTTGGTTGATACTTAAATCGAAGACCGGCAGAGCTATTGGCTAGACTGGGAAGTTGGAGAAACACTGCATGAGTAAACTACTTCAGTATTGTCCACCAGAATACTATTTGGATGAAGTCAGGGGCTGGACTTGATTCAAAAGATTAGAGATAAGTCCTTGAGGGTGGATTGTTGAGACTTCCCTGGGTAATTGCTGGGTCCACATTCCAGGATTTTAATGAAATTCCACCTGTTGAGTCACAATAACAGAAAAGATTGGATGCCTTTCCTTGGCAGCAGATTCCCCTAGCTTGAAAATGCTCACTGTTTTCATAGGATGAGCACTTCAAAATAATGTTTCATCATCATCATCTGTCTTGTGCATGACCTGCAAAAAAATCTCTCTGCGTTCCTGAGTTACTGGTGAGGCTGAGAGAGGCCTTCAGAGTTGGTCTAGTGCAGGGGTAGGCAACCTTGGCTCTTTTATGACTGGTGGACTTCAACTCCCAGAATTCCTGAGCCAGCCTGGCTCAGCTTGGAAACCTCTCTCTTTCCCCTCAGCATGGCTGGCTCAGGAATTCTGGGAGTTGAAGTCCACGAGTTATAAAAGAGCCAAGGTTGCCTACCCCTGGACTCTAGCGCTGCTCTGGTGCCTGCTTTTGCCTCTCTGAGTTTACATGGGGTCTGGGTTTAAAGCAAGAGTGTTGAATGTGATTTGTGAATAATGCCTATGCAGAATTCTGAATGATTTCTCTGTTCAGGCTATTTCTTGCTGGAAGAGGCACCATCTTTTTGTAATTGTACGCAGAGATGCAATAAGGCTGTTACCCAACAAATACAGCTTTAAAATGCCAGCACCTGAGAGTCCTTTGGTGCTGTCTGAGCATGGTCGTTTACTTCATTACCCAAACTAGGTAACATCATCAGTGCTACCGTATTTCCCCGGAAATCAGGGCTGGGTCTTACATTCATTTTTGCTCCAAAAGATGTATTAGGGCTATACTAATACTACTACTACTAATAATAATAATAGCGAATTTGGCATTGACAAATTCGCTATTAGTCAATTGCAAAAGGCAGCCTTATTAGGAACCGCTTCCATCCTGTGACGATATCTGTAATACCATCAAACATCCACATCTGCCTATCCCAGGTCCTGGGTAAGGACTCGATAGGTAGACAATATGCCAAATCCAGTCTGAACATCTGGCTGACTGTGCGATGTTCAATAATAATAATAATAATAATAATAAAGTTGAAGGGGCCTTGGAGGTCATCTAGTCCAACCCCCTGCTCAGGCAGGAAACCCTGTACCATTTCAGACAAAGGCTGTCCAGTCTCTTCTTAAAAACTTCCAGTGTTGGAGCATTCACCGCTTCTGGAGGCAAGTGGTTCCACTGGTTAATTGTTCTCACTGTCAGGAAGTTTCTCCTTAGTTCCAGGTTGCTTCTCTCCCTGCTTAGTTTCCATCCGTTGCTTCTTGTCCTGCCTTCCGGTGCTTTGGAGAATAGCTTGACTCCCTCTTCTTTGGGGCAGCCCCTGAGATACTGGAAGACTGCTATCCAGCCCCCCCCCCCCCGTCCTTCTTTCCATTAAACTAGACATACCCAATTCCAGCGGCCATTCCTTATTTTCGGGAAAATACAATACTGGCTGATGATCTTAACTGGGTCTTATTTTTGGGGGGGGGCTTATATTAGGAGCATGCTGAATAATCATGCCAGGGCTTTATTTTCCAGTTAGGTCTTATTTTGAAGGAAACAGGATAGTGACTAGCACTGATGATGTTACCTATTTGGGTCATGAAACGTCTGCAAGAAAACCACCAATCTCAGGGAGCATCAAGGACCCCACAATCGGTGTTATTCTCTTTCTCCTCCTCCTCCTCCTCTTCCTCCTCCTCGCAAAGCCTACCCCCTTCAAACACTGATGATGTTACCTAGTTGGGTCATGAAACGTCTGCAGGAAAACCACCCAGCTCAGAGAGCACCAAGGACTCCTCCTCATTTCAACCCTGAGCTGCAAATATTCTCCTTTATTGGTGCCAGCCCCTGCCTGAGAATCCTGTGAAGGGCAGGGATGAATCTGCTGAAAGTATCTACCTTGCAAGCGTGCTTCTGTGCTGCCTGTTGGAGAAGGCCCCTGATGTTCTGCTTTTCCTTTTTCCCCCACAGTGTACCAATGGCCACTTGATGTGTGCTGGATGCTTCATCCACCTGCTGGCAGATGCCCGGCTGAAGGAGGAGCAGGCTACCTGTCCCAACTGCCGCTGCGAGATCAGCAAGAGCCTTTGCTGCCGAAACCTCGCGGTGGAAAAAGCCGTGAGCGAATTGCCCTCCGAGTGTGGCTTCTGCCTGAGGCAGTTCCCTCGCTCTCTCCTGGAGAGGCACCAGAAAGAAGAATGCCAGGACAGGTAAACAGCACGGCTTGCTTTTTTACTATGGTGCAAAAAAATAAAACAATTGAAGGCAAAACCATTAGGTCTGGCTTTGTCACTCTTGTTATGGTGGAATACAGCTCCCAGGATTCCCAGCCAGCCTAGGGGTGACCCTGTCTCTTGGGATTCTGGGAAAGTGGAGCTGTACACTTTTAAGGCCACCTAATGAGAAGGAAGGACTCCCTGGAGAAGAGCCTGATGCTGGGAAAGATGGAGGGCAAGAGAAGAAGGGGACGACAGAGAAGGAGGTGGCTGGATGGAGTCCCTGAAGCAGGAGGCCTGAGCTTCAATGGACTCCAGAAGATGGTAGAGGACAGGAAGGCCTGGAGGAACGTGGTCCATGGGGTCGCGATGGGTCGGACACGACTTCGCAACTAACAACAACAACAACACTTTTAAGAAAGCCTCTCACCTTGATTGCCTGGGATAGGTAGATCCTGGAGTGCTGGTGGAAGGGACAGCTGCAACCTGGGCTTGCCTGATGTGATGCTTTTGATAAAGAAAGAGATCATAGTTAAATCGGAGAGGATAAAGCATAATTAGAATAAAAATCTTCCCATATTATACTCTAATGCAGGGTTCTCCAAACTTGGCAACTTTAAGACTTGTGGACTTCAACTCCCAGAATTCCTCAGCCAGTCATTTTCAGCCAGAATTCTGAGAATTGAAGTCCACGTGTCTTAAAATTGCCCAGTTTGGAGACGCTGTTCTAATAGAACCTTACTTAATTGTATAAACAAAGGGAACAGCCTTGGGGTGATCAGACGTTTCTTGCAAGCTGCTGCTAATTTCGCTAGCGAACGTGTCAACTGTTAGTCTTGATCTCATTAGAAAAGGATTTGACAATTGTCCTGTCGCTCTCGTAACACCGTGCGAAGGATCAATGAAGAATGGTTGAAGTTGAGCTCTTTGGCTGATGGTTCTTCTTTTAAACGTGGAACGCAAGAGATTTTTAAAAGCAGTCTTATTTGATCCCGGAGGCCATCCATTGAAACTGATCACAGGTTCGGGAGAGACGAGGGAGACCGACTTCATATAACGTACGCCTGATTGAAAGGAGAAAAGGTGCCTGTAAGAATGTAGGGAATCCTGGATATAGAGGCTTTTGTGCATAAAATCAGATCCATTCTGTTCCATTCTCAGTGACAAATACTCTGGTACATTCTGTTTAAATGAATGTTTGGCTCTTATCCGTGGTAGGATTAGATCAGGGGTCTTCAAACTTGGCCCTTGTATGACTTGTGGACTTCAACTCCCAGAATTCCTCAGCCAGGCACGCGTGCCTGGCTGAGGAATTCTGGGAGTTGAAGTCCACAAGTCATACAAGGGCCAAGTTTGAAGACCCCTGGATTAGATAGTCTTGTAAGTTCTTCCTTGAGCAGATCCTCTCTCTGGCAAACAAAGGAGTCTGGTGGCTGTGCCTCTGAGCCTTAATAGTAGTAGTAGTAGTAGTAGTAGTAGTAGTAGTAGTAAAGTTGGAAGGGACCTTGGAGGTCATCTAGTCCAACCCCCTGCTCAGGCAGGAAACCTTATACCAGTGTTTCTCAACCATGACCATTTTAAGGCATGTGGACTTCAACTCCCAGAATTCCACAGCCAGCTGGAATTCTGGAAATTGAAGTCCCCATGCCTTAAAATGGTCAAGGTTGAGAACCACTGCCCTAGACCATTTCAGACCAATGGCTGTCCAGTCTCTTCTTAAAAACCTCCAGTGTTGGAGCATTCACCGCTTCTGGAGGCAGGTGGTTCCACTGGTTAATTGTTCTCACCGTCAGGAAGTTTCTCCTTAGTTCTACGTTTGCCTTGTCCCTTGCCTTGTCCCGCTCTGGCCCACTGCGGTGTCCCATCATGCGGCCCTCGCTTCCCGCTCATTCGAGCTCTGCCCCCCCCCTTTCAATCTGCAGGGTGACGCAGTGCAAGTACAAGCGGATCGGGTGCCCGTGGCAAGGCCCTTTCCACGAACTGACCGTCCACGAAGCGGAGTGCACCCACCCCACCAAGACGGGGAACGAGCTGATGGAGATTCTGGACGAAATGGACCAAACGCATAAAAGGGAAATGCAGCTCTACAACAGTATCTTCGGCCTGCTCAGCTTCGAGAAAATCGGTTACACAGGTAATTATTGGGAGCGCGGCCAGGCTCGGGACGCAAGGACCGCCGTTGGCGACTTCTCGCGCTTTTGTGTTGTTTTCTTCTGGCATTTTCGTTTTTGGGCGATGAGTCCATCTGCTGATTTAACTTATTTCTCTACCCTAACATGCAGCAACTGTGCTTCGGAAGAGGGAGGCTTTGCTGGTCAGACAGGGCTGCTAGCCCAAATGTTGATTCCTGGAGATTTCCCTCCGGTTGGCCTGAGAATCCCAAGTTTAGGGGAGGCCCGTGGTTGACTTGCACCGATTCCACTAAGGGTCTGGGAGGGAGTTGTGGAGGGGAGGGGGCGAAGGAATTGCAAATTCTGTGTGTACGATCGAGGCCTCTTGAGCAGAACCGAGCCGGTCTTAGGCGTTCTTCCTTCTGCTGATTACGCCACCGGGCTGCACTGGTGACCTGCGGAAGATGGATCTTTCCTAAATGCAGGTAAGACGTGGCAGTCAGAGACAGACGGCCGGCCGGCCGAAAAGAAAGACAAGACGATTAAAATCCACCTCGGTTCTGCTCCTTTCTCTCTTTTCTGTGTCTACTAAATAAGTGAGTTTCCTCTAGTTTGGAATTCTGCCGCTTTCCTAGGGTGTCCACGAGCTTTAGGCAAAAGCCCTTTCTTTGGGGGATGAAATATTTTAGCCTCTCTTAGCTTCGACGTGGCTCAGTCGGGTGAGTGTACTCTCGGTTGCCGTAGTAGGCATCCTGAAAGTTTTGCAGTGGCCTGTCGTTTCCTGGCATGACAAAAATGTTTCTGGTTTTCCCGACCGAGTCCACACAATCCCCAACCTCTGCATGCACTCAGGGTCAGAAATGTACGTTCGCCAGTTGGGGACGGAAAGCAATGTCGGTTTAGCCCGGTGGATCTAAATTGCCTTGGCAGGTAAGCTGGGGACTCTCCTCTGACTCTCGAAAAAGGCTCTGCAGAATTGCATGGAAAAAGCCCTTGTTAATGGCTGTGGGGTGTCTTGAGGAAAATAGATGCTGAAATCTCCTTTCCTTTCCTATGAATATTCACGTTTCCTACAGAAAGCGTCTCCTCGGATATAATCCACTCTCGGACCCAAGCAAAGCTGGAGCCTCACAACAACACCGGAGTGTGTTTCTTAGCCAAGTTAAAGGTGCTTAGCGCTTAAAAAGAAACAAAAGGGAGTCCTGGGGAACTCCGGCTGTGAAGAAAGGTGACCGGCTGTCTTGTCTGCTGAAACCCTGTTTGGTCCCAGAGCTGGAACCGGTGTGGGGAGGGGGGGGAGGCAAGCAGGACCTCCAGGCGCTGCCAGATTTGGACTCCCCGAGGACCTGGCTCTCCCGCAGAGCCCAGCAGCGGCCCAGGGGTAGTGCTGGGGGTCCGGGTGGGGCAGAGTGGGGTGCAAGGTTGAAAGTCGGAAGCCCCCCTCTGCCTGTGAGAGAAGAGAGGCCTTGGAAAGAGACGGCCTCTAGCCAGAGAGGCAGGTGGTGCTGCTTTTAACACGGAGAGAACAAAAGTGCTGATTGTGTGGCTTGAATAACTCCATCGCCTCCTTTGTCCAGGTCTCGCCGCCGTGCCCTCCTCTGGAAACACACGACGAAGCCAAACTTGCCCACAGAGGCGCCATGCCCCCGAGTTTGTGCTGGGAGAACTCCATTGGTTTGGGACACCAAAGACTTTTTTTTTAAAAAAAATTACCGGGCCAACAATCTCGAGAAAGCTCAAATCACCCAAAACACTCGGTGGACTTTTTGAGGCTTTTAAAAGAACTGACACTGGACTGGGCCTAAAAACCATTGGGGGGCAGCCGGGGGGGGGGGCAGCTTCAAAACGGAGTCTCAAAATGATTTCGGTGTACTGTTCTTTTGTCTTCCTGTATCCCACGCCAGGCTGTTCCGGCCTGTTTTTGTTTTGTTTTGTTTTAAAAAAACCTAGAAGTTGCATCTCCAGCCGCCTCGTTTGGTTCTGCATTTTGATGATGCCTGACTGTTGTGCCTTCTCACCTGTGTATTGTGAATAGTAATAAAATAAAGGTGCCCACCTCCCCTGACTTGTCTGATTGGGTTTTTATGCACGCCTTCTCTTGCTCTGGGGTCCGTAAGGGCTCCGGGGAGCCGTCTGCCGCCACTGCTCTTTGGTCTGCCAAGAAGCCTCGCACGGAGGCCGGAAGAGGCCGCTGTCCCGGAAGGCTGCGGGACGTCCCGGGGCACGGCAAGCTGCAGGCGGGCTGGTGGCAGCTGCGTAGAAGCTGCCCAGCTAGGCCGGAGCTGCAGCGGTTCTGATGCAAAAGAGTCGGACGAGGCGGGAAGACCCAAGAGGACCCCCCGAGATGTTTCTGCCCCTTTGGGGATCGGAGAAGGCAGGCCTTCCTGCGCTGGACCTCACCTGTCCCCCGACTCTCGGATTCTGGCTTCTGGCCGAGGGCGTTCTTCCGTGGCTGCAGACGGGCGGGTCCCTTCCTTGGCCGTGGTTGTGTTGGCCATCTCGTAGCTTCCCTGTTGCTTCTCTCTCTCTCCCCCACTCTTGAGCAATGATAAAACTGTGTTGTGGTTTTGGCACTGATAAAAATGTATTGATTTTATCTGCTTTTCTCCTCCCCCCCCCACCTCCTCATCCCCCCCCCCACCCAACAAGCCAAATTGCTTCTGGTCCTAGCTAGCCCTGAGTGGCTACCCTCACCCTTGTCTCCCGTCCGAGAAGGCCACGCACAGTAGATACAGGTAACTTCAGCTTTGTTTCTTCCTGCTTCCGGTTTCTCTCGTTTAATTGTGCTTTTTTTCCTTTTTTTTTGTTTTTGTTTTTTTCCTGTTTCCCTCTCTTCCCCCCCCCCAACACCCCCTCCTCCCTGGCTGTCTTACAGAGGTTCAGTTCCGTCCCTACCGGACCGACGACTTCATCACCCGCCTTTACTATGAGACGCCCCGGTTTACGGTGCTGAACCAGACGTGGGTCTTGAAGGCCCGGGTGAACGACTCGGAGCGCAACCCCAACCTGTCGTGTAAGCGCACCCTCTCTTTCCAGCTCATCCTCAAGAGCAAGGTCAGCTCCCCCCTCGAGTGCTCCTTCCTGCTGCTCAAGGGACCCTACGACGACGTGAAGATCAACCCGGTCATCTACCACTTTGTCTTCTCCAACGAGAACAACGAGACGGAGTACCTGCCGCTCCCCATCATCGACTCCGTGGAGTGTAACAAACTGCTGGCCGCCAAGAACATCAACCTGCGTCTCTTTATATTCCAGATACAGAAGTAAGCGTATATAAGCTAACCTGGGAGAGTGACCGAGAGACAGAGAGAGAGGAGAGCACGCACCCACCAAACCAGAGTTACCTCGTACAGCTGCCTCAGCCCCCTTCTAATTCCACAATTATCCGATTACTTTTTAAAAAGAGAGAGAGAGGACTTTTTTTGCATGTGTGGTAGACGACAGCCTCTACGCAGTTGCTGCCTTCTTGGACTCTTCCCCGCTTGCGCCCCCCTTCCCCGAAAAAGGCAACCGGGGGAGCTAGCTTGATGCAGGGTACTGTGGAGGCCTGAGGGGGTTTTTCTTTGGGGGATCTGCCGGTCAATAACATGGTGAAAAGGCCGCCTCCGTGTCACGGTTGTGTGTGTCATCTCCACCATGGGGGGTCCCAGGGGAAGGAGGGGTCTCCTGTCCTTCCGTCCCGGCGGGTGTCCTCCTATCCAAGTATTACGTAGCATCTGGAAACGCCGGGCAGATCGTGTTGCATCAGGAGAACAGAGGGGTGGGGAGGGCGTTCTCCAGTTAGGTAGCTTCAGGGACCTCTAGGAAGGAGGGGGGGGGGTGTTGCCAGCCAGTCTCTTACTTAGAGTGCACGCCACCAAAATGCCCAGGCTTTGCCGGGGAGAACAAGCAGCAGAGCATGTCCATGAATGTATCAGTCCAGGGGATTCTCCGTGCTGGCCTCCCCCTCGCCCTCTCCCCAGCTTTTTCACTGTGGCTGAGCTGGTGACTCTTTTCACATGAAGTCTGGTTCCTAGAAGGCCAACAAGAGAGAGAGAGACCTCAACAGTTGGTCCCATCTGGCAGGAAGCAGCACCCTCCAAGTGGCTTGAATTGCACTTCCCCAAAGTACCCAGACATCCCGACAACTGTCCTCTTACGTTAGCCCCCCCCCTCCACCAATCCCCCCAAAACCCCTTCCCCAGGCTAAGAAATGGCATCGAACCGACCCGAATCAGCGCAGTTCTTCTCGGAATGCAGGGTGATGAATTTTGTCCGGGTTTTTTGTTTTTTTGGGGGGGGGGAGCTTTCCCTGTATTTTGAACGTCCGTGTGGAAATGAGTTCAACAGGCTCTTTAGTAATTATGCAATTTTACAGTGTGATTTTATGTACGTTGAAAACAAAACAAAGTATATATAAATATATATATATATATATATATGGCAAGTTGATGGATGAGGATCGTGGGAGACATTCACCCAATTCCAGCGAGAACTTTACAGGGATGATTGCTTCTTGCTCTCAAAAGCCTATTTTAAAAATGGGAAACTTGGTGGTGGATGACCGTGGAGTTATGTATCATGAGAAATACGTCGATTGTGCTGTCAATCATCTTTTCTTTTCCTTCCAAACCCTAACCTGGCATCCCCCACCTCAACTTTTTTGCTTTTGTTTTGTTTGTTTTTTTAAAGGAAGCTTGTGACCGCAGTTATATGAACTTTGTATGAACTAATGGGATTCAGGTATGTTTTGCAGACCCGCGAAACGTGCGTGGCGGGGGCGTTCTTCCCTTCAGCTGATAAAAGAATAACAGCATCGTTTCTGTTTTCACCTCACCGTTTCTGTTCCTTCTTCCTTTCTCCTCCTACCTCCTGGCCATAAATCCAATTTTAGGAAAGTCGACAATAGCCTTCCAGTCCTGGGCAACTCACGGCCGTGTAACTGGCTGAAGCTCTTTTTATTTTGTTTTGTTTTGGCGAAAGCTGGCCGGCTGTCCCGCACAATTTCAGGATACAGCTTGGCTTGTCAAAAATGCTACCCCAGTAGGGCTCGTTTGGTTTGGTTTTGTTGGAGTCCAGTGTGAATCCAGTGGGAATATGACAGGGCACGGGTGTTTGACGACTGGTGGACTTCAACGCCCAGAATTCCTCAGCCAGCCGTCCTGGCTGGCTCAGGGATTCTGGAAATCGAAGTCCACACAGGTTGCAAAGGGTCAAGAGTTGTCCAGCCCTGTGGTGGAAAGTTGGTGAGGTCTTTGCCCAGAGTAGCCCTGGGATGTTCCAGCTGCTGAGATGTTCCTGGTTCTAGCCAGAGGTTGGCTTGAGGGTGGATTCCTTGTTTGGCTGCTGGTTTGGAAATTTGAAAATCGGTTGAGTAGCCCGGCTAGAATTGGATAGAGCAGTGTTTCCCAAACTTGACCATTTTAAGGCATGTGGACTTCAACTCCCAGAATTCCACAGCCAGCGTTGCTGGCTGTGGAATTCTGGGAGTTGAAGTCCTCATGCCTTAAAATGGTCAAGTTTGGGAAACACTGATCTAGGGGCATCACCTCAATCTTGCTCTAAGGTGTGGTGGTGACGTTAAATCAGGAACGACCTCTTGATCTCCGCAAAGTAACCTGCAGGTGGTTTCCATAGGACTTCTCTCTCCCCCCCCCCAAACTGGCACGTCCAGGGTCCCCTACCCCAGGGGTCCTCCACCGTGGCCACTTTTAAGACTTTGCTGGCTGAGGAATTCTGGGAGTTGACGTACACCAGTCTTAAAGTGGCCAAGGTGGAAGACCCCTGCCCTAGCCCTTGGCTAAGATGGAGTGGAAATACTTTATCTCTCTTGTGACTGGCACCTCTTGACAGCCAGCAGGATTGGTTTAGGACGCGTAGTGCATTTAAGTTATCTTGATTGCAGGCTCTGATTCCCAGACTTTATTTCATTAGCACTCAGTATTAGCGTCTCTCTCTCTCTTCCCCCTTTGAATCTTTGATCCCAGGTAGGGCCTGGGGAGAGCTGTCCTCTCCCAGCTGGCGTATTCAAAAGGCTCTCCCACGCTTGGGGGGTTGTGTGTGTGTGTAAAAAGAAAGTTCCAGAGCCTGCCTGCCTTCCATCTGCGCTCGCTCTCTCTCTCTTGGGGTGAACCTGACCTCAGCCAAAATGCAAGTCCATCTGCCCTCGTTTTGCAGCCGGTCTGGGGGAGGCTACAAGCCACGGGAGAGGAAAAAGGGGAATTCATGGAAGAGAAGAAGCTGGCCAGGCTCTCTCCGGGAACAAAGACTTCTGGGAAAGTTTCCCGCGTGAGAGCCAAAGTTAAGATTGCACACAAACACACGTGGAAGGAGGCATCGCCCTGCCCACACATCCCTCCTTCACATCGAGAAAGTACAGGACGGAGTAGGAAGAAACTACCCCTAGGAAATGCTACAGAGGGAGGGATGCAGCTGAGTCCAAGGCCAGCCCCCCCCCCCTTTAGAAAGGATGTAAAGGACAGATTTTCCTGAGAAAAAGGGAGGTGGGACTTATTTAGAGTAGGGGTATGCACCTATGGCCACTGGATGATCTGGGGACTTCCAATTCCCAGAATTCCTGAGCCAGCCAGCCAATTCTGGGAGTTGAAGTCCGCAGGACATCAAAATGGCCATCATTGCTCGCCCCTGGTTTAGAGCATGTGAGAAGACGGTGCATTGAGACTTCTGGAGTAAGCAGTGTTTCAACTTGCATTCCAGAGAAATCCAGCCTGCAGTGGTCTGTCTTCTTTCTTTCTTTCTTTCTTTCTTTCTTTCTTTCTTTCTTTCTTTCTTTCTTTCTTTCTTTCTTTCTTTCTTTCTTTCTTTCTTTCTCTTTATCTCTTTCTCCTTCCCTCCCTCTCTTTCTTTCTCCTCCCTCCCTCCCTCCTTTTCTTTCTTTCTTTCTTTCTCTCTCTTTTTCTCCTTCTTTCCTCCCTCCCTCCCTCCCTCCCTCCCTCTTTCTTTTTCTTTCTTTCTCCCTCCCTCCCTCCCTCCCTCCCTTTCTCTCTCTCTCTCTCTCTCTCTCTCTCTCTCTCTCTCTCTTTCTTTCTTTCTTTCTTTCTTTCTTTCTTTCTTTCTTTGACTTTCTGAATACATCAAGGAGTCCGAAAGTGTTTGACACACGTACTGTAGATTGTATCAGCGCTCCTTGGAAACAGCTAAATCTGTGTTAGCCAGGCATAGGTTTTTATCCTGGCCCCGTTCAACCTGTCGTTCTCCAGAGTTTTGTCCCAGCCTCGTGGGAATTGCAGCCCACTGCAATTGCCAAGTGCCAGGTTGGAGCAAACGAGTAGTAGAGGTTTGGGCTTGTTAGCTCCTTGGAGGGAGCTTAAGCGACCCTAGGTATGTGCATCTCACGACACACCCTGGACATTGTCCTCTCTGCCGTCTTTCCCATCCTTCTGCCAGCAAGGCTACAATATTTCCCTCCTGGCTTTAAACACATCCTTTTATCCTTCGCAGATTCCTTGGCTGGGGGCGGGAGAGTTTTGTGATAATTATTTCAATGCAGCCGGTCCTGTTTGTTTTTGGGAAGAGGATTCTCCCTCTAGGAGCAGTTGATCCACCGACGTCCTTTTCTGCAGTGTCACATCCAGTGTGTGTGGATGTTAGGGTGTCTGTGTGTGTAGGGCGGAGGGAATGGATCACCCTTGTCCTTTGCAACTCCCCTTTCTCAAGATCTCCTGCCTGACTCCCTAACTCTGGTCCCGAAGGCCTAAAGCAGGGCTCTTCAAACTCAGCCCTTTTATGACTTGTGGACTTCAACCCCCAGAATTCCTCAGCCAGCATATGCTGGCTGAGGAATTCTGGGGGTTGAAGTCCACAAGTCATAAAAGAGCCGAGTTTGAAGAGCCCTGACCTAAAGGATCTTTGCTGGGATCTAGAGCGCCTTGGCAACTTGCAGACTTGTGGATTTCAACTCACAGACTTCCTGGCTGGAGAATTCTGGGAGTTGAACTCCACAGCTCTTTGGGACACCCTCGATTAGATAGTGAAGAACAAGCCACGTTGAAGACAGAATAGATAACATCGGAGGAACCAGAAACCAGATGCGTATCGGATTCTGGTGCCGCAAAGCCTTGCGGCAAGTGGGCGGCCGGGGAGACCCCGTCCCGCTAAAGGTCATCACTGCCAGCGTCTTTTGCTTCTTCTTTTTTTTTTTTAACCTCCATTCTCATCCCTCTTCATCCTCTATCGCCGTCTTCTTTCTCTTGGACTCCGTCCAACTTCTTCTGCTTGGTAGCTGAGCCTTACCTGTCTAGTTCCGGCTAGACGGCGAAAAAGATTGT